CTATGGACAAAGTTTTAAATTTTGCTTCCGTTTGGCCCTTTTACTCCGATGAGTTAAGTCTGAAATGGTTTGAGGTCGTAGGTAATCTCATGATTACTGGCCGGTTATGTCCTTAACCCTTGGGGGCGGGTTCGGGTCATGACATTGGTAATCTAAATTTCTTTTTCCTGACCCAAAAAAAAAAATTAATAATTTGAATTTCTGGAAATCTGCACTTTTTATGGGTTGATATATTAAGTTTGATATTTTATTGCAAAAATATAGAGCTGTGACAGAGTAAATACTTAGCATAAGGTAATATTAAAAGTACCAGAACTAATTTAAATAGTATAAAAACACAACAATAAATAAGAAAAAAATATACATTTAGTGTAAAATTTATAACAATATCATTTTCATATTCATATGACTAACGAATTATTGATGAAAACGAATTTAAATATTATGTGAATTAAAATCTTCAAATAATCCAATGTAATTATACTAAAATTGTGAAATTTTTTTATATATTTTTCAAATTTTAAAAAAGGCCTATGTAATTTATTATTATTATTTTACCTACTAATCTGGTTTTGCATGTGATATGTCTTTTATTCTGGAAAGGGCATACATTTATCCTACATTCACATATTCATAAACACATACACACAGAGAGAGAGAGAGAGAGAGAGAGAGAGAGAGAACATGACCAATTCTGAGTATGGGATATGAAGAAGGCATGGTGATGGGTGTTTTATAGTTTCAAGACTCTTGTCTTCTGCTTCATCTATTTGTCTATCTTTGCCATATATGCTTTTATGGTTTACTTTGATGTTCCACCCATTTTTAATCATTTAGTACTGCCCTAGTTATTAAAAATCCCACTGAAATATTGATAGAAGAAAATATAATGCAACAAACTTAAAGCAATTGGCAATTTATAATTTTGTATATTTTAATCTCAAAATACAAGTTTTTAATAATATTTTGTTTCAACTGTGCAAATATTATTTTGACATATTCAAACCATTCTTTATTTTTGTTCTCTAAAATCTTTTTATTGAGCGAGTTGAGTTGACACAAATAATGATAAACTAGTGAAGGAGAATTTTTAGAGGGGTTTGCAAGTAATTTGGAAGTTTTAGAGGCCTCCCACTAATCTTGTTGGAGTCATGTACATTAGACCACAGTTCTTGTTATTTGTTGTTTTTTTTTTTTTTGGATTCAGCGGAAAAGAAATACAAACAAACAGGGACTAAGCCCTTTCCCTAGCTATCCCAACCATATCAGAGACCAAGAGCTCTCTGATTTCAGCAGGTGGATCATTTACAACTAGAATGTCCTCAGGTTGTTCAGCTCCAAGTTTGGCCATTGCATCAGCACATAAGTTCCCTTCTCTGTAGATGTGTTGTACAGTGCATTGGCAACCAGTAAAGATGATCCGGGCGTCTGCTACAAGGCCTCTAAGGAGGTGGTGCTCGCCAGGACCTTCTTCAAGCAGCTTCACTACTTCAGTCGCATCAGTCTCGATTATCACTTTGTGAAAACCTTTTTGAAGGATGATGGTGAGGCCTTTGTACACAGCCCATAGCTCGGCTTCAAGGCTGGTGCAGTTCTCGAGTTTGCCATAGAACCCACAGATCCAAGCTCCTGTTTCATCTCTTAACAGACCTCCAAAACCTCCAGGTCTGGCCATTCGATAGCAGCCATCAGTATTCAACTTGAGTGTACCTGAAGGGGGACAACTCCACTTGATTAGTAAAAGTGCTGCTCTAAGAATAGGAACAAACAAAGTGAAAGCTTGGGAGCACTCTCTGGAAAAATCAAAAATGAATTTAACACTTTCAAAAATGCTAGCAGTTTTATTTTCAAAAATTTTTGAATTCCTGTTTTTCCAAATTCTCCAGAGAGTGATAGAGAACAAAGTGTTCCAAAGAGTATTTTCCCCAAAACTATTCTTCTTTTTGAGATTGTAAATCAGCCAGCTTTTCCAAGAAGAATTACTCATCTGTAGGTACCAGTTTCTGGAGAAAACTGTCTCCCACACACCCCTAGCTGCAGAACAGGTTCTAAAAAGATGATCCAAGTTTTCCACCTTATTGCAAAAAGGGCATGTTGGGTCATCAGTTAACCCTCTCTTAACCCTCATACAGTTAGTCAAAGTTTTCCCCTGGAGCAACACCCAGAGGAAGCTTTTAATCTTTTGAGCAATTTGACATTTCCAGAGCCACTGCCAATTTTCTCTGTGCACATCACTCTCCATGCCCAAATTGTAAGCACTGAGTGTTGAGAAACACCCATCCCGAGATCCTTTCCAATGTGGCTGATCAGGGTTGGGACTGTAAAGAGGGGGTTTTTCTTTGAAAATAAGATCAGCCACATTAGTTGGGAAGTGTTGTTGCACTGTGTTCACATCCCAATCCCCTTCCTCATTAAGAAGGGAATTCACTTTCACCAAATTTGAGTCAGCATACTTCTCTTGTATCCAAAAAATAAATAAATAAAGTGCACTAGCGGCCCAAGGTTTTTTTATTTCAAATATAGAATTTTGTTTTAGCTTACTTTTTCAAATTTGACCATAAAAACAAAAAATTAAAAAAAAAATCTCTTAAAAATTGAGATAATTTGGACAACAAAATTTCAAAAGTTCAATACAGAAAATGAAATTTGCTTAAAAATTCGAAGTTAGTTATGGCTCTTTTCTACCAAATTCTATTCAAATCTATAAAAGTACATATATTTCTTCAAGATATATGGCCTCGTTTGGGAATATGCCTTTTTAATAATTTTTTGACTTTTTGGCTAAAATGTGATATAAAAAAAATTATGTTTGGGATGACTTTTTAGTTTTTTACAAAAAGGTGTGTAAAAAATAAAGAAAAAAAAAATCTTTGACTTTTTTATATGAATTATTAACTTTTTTATTTTTTAATTACTTTTTGACTAAAAAAGTCACTTGGCAAACGAGGTTTTTGATATGGTCCATCTTGAATTTCATGGTAGTTTTGTTAATTTTTTTTTTAATGTTTTTCTTACTAATTTTTATTAAATGGGATTGTTGGGTCTCGTTTGGAAACAAGTTTTTTTAATAATTTTTTGACTTTTTAACTAAAGGGCTATTTTGAGAAGTGGGCTAAAAGTCACTTCCCGGCTTTTTACCCATTTCTTTCTCTCACAAAAAAGTTTAAAAAAATCAAAAAATAACTTTTAACCATCTTTCCAAAACACCCCAAAATATGATGTAAAAGCAGCTAATATGTTTGAAATGACTTTTGAATTTTTTACGGAAAAATGTGTAAAAAGTAGAGAAAAAATGAAATTTTTAATTTTTTAGTATAGATTATTGACTTTTTAATTTTTTTAATGACTTTTTAACTTTTAAATTAAAATAAAAAATTACTTCCCAAACGAGGCTGTGCTGGTTTGTCATTATGTTTACTATTGGCACTCTTAATTCTACTTTTATATTAGAAAATAAGAGTTTTGCAAACCACTTTACAGAAAAGGTTAGAAGCTTTGAAGGGGTAAATACATAAATAGAGTAAATTCCAAGTCAGTAAAAAAATTGAAGCAATCAAAAATTGAGTTTGCCAAACAAACAAACCTTTCAGCTTTTTAATATTCAAGAAAAGGCAACTAGTATTCACCTACAAAAAAGGAAAAAAAGAAAAAGAAAAAAATGCAATCTCTACCATTGCCCTTGTTCAAAACATAACAAAAATTGTGAAGAGGTAAAAGCGTCCATCAAAAGTGTATGGGGTAAATACATAAATAGAGTAAATTCCAAGTCAGTAAAAAAATTGAAGCAATCAAAAATTGAGTTTGCCAAACAAACAAACCTTTCAGCTTTTTAATATTCAAGAAAAGGCAACTAGTATTCACCTACAAAAAAGGAAAAAAAGAAAAAGAAAAAGATGCAACCTCTACCATTGCCCTTGTTCAAAACATAACAAAAATTGTGAAGAGGTAAAAGTGTCCATCAAAGTGTATTGACAAAGGGAATATGATACACACTCCATAAAAGGTGTGTTTTATATGTATTTTATAATTATAAAAAAAAAACATAATTTTATATTTTTTAAGTTATAAACAAATATAAAAAAAAATCGTAACTAAAATTTTAAAATAATATTATAACGAAAGAAAAAAATTAATCATAATTAAAAAAAATAACATAATTGAAAGTGCCTATATGATATAGGGGAGTGCATAATAAAATTCTCCATTAACCAAACATAAAATTTTATTGTTTCAAAACTTTAGACCCCACAACTTTAAGTAGAGTCTAATACATCTTATATGACACCTAATGTTTAAAACCAATCATGATCGGTATATTGTTTGACAAATTTATTTTTAAAGGGTTTGGATTCTCATCCAACTTCAAATAACAGTTTGGGCTTAGCGTGTTTATTTTGAGGTCAATTTTAATAATTCAAACTATTTACTTGATAAGATTTGTTGAATAAAATATTTATACAAAAAATTAAAATGATCAAATATCAATAATTATGTATTTAAATCACATTTATATTACAAAAATAGATAATTATTCTTAAAATTATATTTATAATCTATTTTTTTTAACATAAATACAATTCAAATGTTCGATCATCGTAATTTTTTATCTTAAGATTGACCCCAAAATAGGCCTACTAAGCACAACTTTTCTCTCAAGTTGAAAAGCCAACTTAAAACAATTCAAATCCGTTTTCATATATCATGTCAATGATAAATTAAGATATTACAAATAGAATAAAGGTTGAGACCCCCTTTGGAGATCACCCCTTAACCCCTTTAGTTTTGATTGGTCAACTTTTCCTCTTTTTTTTTTTTTTTTTTTCCTTCTCACCCAATCCCCAACCTCCATGTGGGAGTAAGTGTTTTAAGGGGGTCGAAATCAATGCCTAATAATAATAATGTCAAGTACAATATAATTTTGATCAAACAAAAAGTACTTTAAGAATGCTCCACAAATCAATGATCAGTTTAATGACAAAGATGAAAATTAATAATAATTAAAAAAAACTGCTGCTTACCATATAAAAACAAAAAGAATAAAACAATCCCAAAACTTTTTTTTTTTTTTTTATCCTTTTTAATCTCTACTCATATTATACTGTTCGCAAAACAAACTAAAAAATGAACATAAAAAATAAACATGAACATTGAAATGTAAAAACTCCCCCATCTCTCTCTCTTTAAACTTTTCCAACCCTGTTCCTTGCCCATAGCTGCTAAGGAGTCTAATATTTAACAGCTGTTGACTGTTTCCTTCATGCTATGAACATGCAATATTTTGATGCCATCCTCCAATTCCATCCCCCAAGCATGACCCATCTTATTGTACTCTTCTTTACACTAAATATTTTTTCTTTTCTATTTTACTCGAAAAAAAAAAAGCTTTTCCATTTTTCTCTCCCCACCAAAACTTCCATTCCACCAAACCAAACATGTTTAGTTTTGGAGTGAAATGACCAATCCACCCCTCATCACATCCTAAATCTCCACTTCAAAGGGTTCTAATTTAGCTTCCTCCTTTTGCTGCCTGAGTTATTATGAGAAGAATTTGCACATGACCCAACTGTTGTGTCATCTGTTTTGTAGCTCAAGCAAGCAGCATCCAGCACACCAATTGGACTTTGGGGCACAGATGGTACTAAAGCACTTAACCCATTAGTAGACTCACTCATTAACGACGATAGCTCATGGATCATATCAACACACTTGAGCATTCTCTCCTGCATGACACAACAAATAGAACAAAGAGAAAAACACCCATCTATCATCAATTGTAAGAAAAGATCTGTAGCTAATCAAACTAGAAATGATTAGAGAAAAAGAGTAAAAAAAAATCTTGTTAATGTCCCTTTGAGTTAACTCCAAGGGGTTAGCGCGGAGTGACAAGTAGAACTGTGATAAACACATTAAGAAGCGTATGTCATGAGTTCAAATTGCGTAAACCCCTTCGGATCATCCCAATGTCGGTGCGTAATATTGAGTGAGTGTATGTGGGACAGGAGACTGTATATACCCTAAGACTAGTGGGTGCAAAACTTCAGATACCATCGTTACAACAAACAAAAAAATACAAAAACCTATGGGTCTTTGGACCACCAACTTTACCTTGTCTACATGTTCAATGAGAAGAGAAATTGCTTTGTTGATGTCTACTGTTTGAGCTTCTTCTGCAACAGACATTGCCACTGCTGCTGCAACCTCAGAAGGCCTAAACTCCAAGAAGTCAATTCCTGCAATAAATAGCCACCAAACCATAACATTAGGCCCTGTTTCCAATTTCTCTTTCTTCATTCATACTAGTACAGAATGATTAACATAGTAGACAGTACATAGATAGACACACATTACATCATAATGACAAAGAATGTGTACCTTTTATTATGCCCAATATGAGTTGAGTTGATCTAGAGATTGAAGATCTTGAAGGGTTTTTATCACCATTGATTTTCCAAAGGAAATAGACAATGAAGGAGAATGGGGTGACAGCTTGCATTCTCCACTTCAATGTGCTCAAAACCAGAAGCTCCATTCTCTGTATGGTTCTTGCTTCAAACACAAATTTAGACCCAGCCACCTGTCATTGCTCATTCTGATTAGGACAACTTGATCAACAAACAGTAACAAGATGATAGCTTAAGCAGATTCGCTAAGCAGTACTGTTTGGTTCACTGAAATAAAGATAGAATGGAACGATCATTCTATCGTAATGACCATTCCATTTCACCTTCATTTCAATGAACCAGACACTAGCTAAATTCCATGTCTTTTACCTGAAAGTCTACACACAAAGGAATCTCAGTCTCCTCCATTTTGGCTGCAAGGGATAAACAGGCCACAGCCAACAATTGAGCCATCCAAGCTTTGCCCTTCTGCAAGTAACACACAACAAATGGCAAATACAATCAGCATTGTAATTGGATGAACTTGAAAAGCAATGAAATGATGGACAAATTGTATTTTAGTTGGAACAACTCAAAATAATTGCATTTTTCATTGAGGTGCAATTGAGAGATGTGTCCCATGCCACAGCTCTTAGTTACACCAAACACGGATCGACTTGCACCTCTATGAAAATTGCAAGCATTTTGAGTTATTTCCACTGAAATGCAATTTCACATAAAATGACCTAGAATTCGATCCTGAACTCACAGGTAATTCAGAGGTTGAGAGGTATCTATCCAAGTAGCTTATAGACAAATATGAACACAGAGGTCCAAAATTGAAATGGGCAACAACCTGTTAGATCAATAAGACCATTTGCATTTGTCACCAACCAAGGGGAAGAACATAATCAAAATAATAATAGTAATAATTACAACAATAAATTAATAACAGTGATAAATGGAAAAGAACATCTTGGTGAGTTTTATCGGAAAATAGGGGGATAAAAACAAAGGAAATGTAAATCCAAGTTTAGCCAGCTAAAAATGGGGTAAAAAGGAGTAGAAAAAAGCAGATAAATACAATTAACATATCCTGCATCAGTCAACTCATCAAAAGCAAAAAAGAGAGGATCCCACCTAACCCATTTCAGGGGCTATGTATGATATGTGAATGCCATAAAGAAGCTATTCATAACAAGAGATAACTTCAATCCGCTCCATCAAACACCTCATAGTCAACAATAACATCAACATTGATTCCAGAAACAAAAACAAGAGGAACTAAAAGCATCATCAAAATCTCACCCAAAGAGTCCATCCATATATAGAAAACAAATTGATTTCCAAAAACAAAATAACCCAACTCATTGAAATCATCAAAACATATGCAGAGGAATTGACAAGGACAGAAAAGGACTAATACCAATTTCAGAAAAACCCTCAAGAATTAAAAAAAAAAACCATTAAACAAGATTGCTTAACTAACCTTTCCAATCCATATAACAGCCTCTCTTCTAGCCATCAAGTTCAAATCCCCATTCCTCAATCCGCTCAAGTAATCACTAGCAAGCAAGAGCTCACATTCCCTCTTGAGCATCTGAGCCAAGCACTCATCACTCTGCATTGGCAAAACAATGTATGGCTCATCAAAGCTCTGGTTTTGATTTCTGGTTCGATGGTTCCGATTATGCCAAGTGGGCTCAAAATCAATCTCATCATCACCAAATATGATGCTGTTGTCTTCTGTGCATAGAAGGCTTGACACTGCAAAATCAAAACTGGGTGCCATTGCAAAACCACAAAACTCTCTCTCTCTCTCTCTCGCTCTCTCTCTGTATTTATGCCTTACTGGTGCTTCTGATAATCAAGTGAAAAAGGGTAGAAACCAGGGCTTTAATCTTTGGATTGTTTTTGAATGAAGAAATAGATTTCTTTATCAAAGAAAGAATAGATGCACAGAACAAGGAACAAATAAGGGATGAATCAGTAATAACTCTCTCTCTCTCTCTCTCCACTTCTCAAAGACGGATTGAAAAGACTGCAAGTGAGCGGCTTATGTAGAGAGCAATGAACGACCCTTTTATCAGTCTTAGGGTAAATGTAGAGAGAGAGAGAGAGAGCGAGAGCGAGAGCGAGAGCGAGAGAGAGAGAAGAGGGTACCAGTGCAAGAACACGAGGTTGCAATGCAAATAAGAAAGGTTGAGAGAGAGAGACCAGATTCTATGGACATTGCAATTCACTACAATGGGGAAATATTAATATATACTCGTATAATTAGGTCCCGTTTGGGAATTTGATTATTTTAATTGATATTTTTTTTACTATTTTATGAAAAAAAAAGATGTGTTTTAATGATTTATGAATCTTTTTGTAGTTGAATAAATAGTTATGAAGAAAAATTATTAGTTAGTCTTGAGATACCATATAGCCATGTCCCAGGCCAATTATAAACCCTCGTGCCCTTCATATTTTTCAATCACCTAATATAAAATTGTGAGTCTCACTTCCTTTATCAATCACTATATATGAACCAACCAATAACTTACCGATTGTAAGAAGAAAAAAAAAATGATTAATTAATATATAAGACGTGATATTTTATTTTGTTGATTATTTTAATATTTTTTTATTTTTGTTAATTATTTTAGCTAAAATCCTTCGTGCCAAACACCCTTTTAGTGTATTTCTATTTAAGTTATTTTTTATTTTTCAAAAATTGTTTTTGTATAAAAATAAAATCATATGAAAACAATGGATGTTTTAAAAAAAATTATTTTTTTGAAAAATCAAAAAAAAAATGATTCCTTTTACTAATTTTTTATGGTCTTGGCATTTTGTATTTTGTATTTTTTATTTAGAAAATGTTATACATAAATAAATTTTTTTAAACATTTTTCTTAAACACAAAAACATTAATTTTACGTGTATTTATTAATGTGGAACCAACTATCCTTATATTTAGTAGTAAAAAAATCTGGAGAGAAATTTATTACAAATTTATTTATTTTGGTAACTGTGTTTTCTATTTTTTCCTCATAATTTTGGTAAGAATATGAATATATGACTCTAGACATAGAATGCGAAAGATTTTGCCTTTCAGTTGAATCAAAAAAAAAAAAAAGAAAGATTTTGCTTTGAATTCTTTGCCATGTGCTATACAACTGTATCTAGAGGGAGAGAAATTTGAATTCCCTTAAATACCCTTTAATTGCTTCTTGTTTTTTTTTAACTGGTAGTTTTAATTTGAGTGACAGTCAAAGACAAAAGAATAAAAGGATTGTCTAGTCTTGTAAATAATGTTAAAATACAGGGATATGTATGTAAATTAGAACGAATGCGCAATGATTTTTTTTTTTTCAATTCACTTTTAATTAGGGCGGTAATGTGACAATTTTTGTTGTGAACGTTTCATCCCATCCCATCTCACCAAACTCCGCTCCATAGACCTGAGCTGGTGATCTGAGTTGTTTCTCAAGATAAGTCTTAGTTGTGTTCCGAGCTGTTTCTAGAGGAGGATACTGTGATGAAACACATGTCTCGAATTAAAGATGACAACAGAACAAGTATTTTGTGAATCTATTTTAGCCCCACCCACCCCATTCGATCATATCCCCACTCGTCCCACCAAATGCTATTTTGAGTGAAGCTATTTATCCAACACTGCTTTGCAAGTATTGAGGGAGTGTTTAGTATAATCTATATAAGTGTATTTATTTGAGTTACATCACCTCTTTACTTTTCTGTATATCTTTTCATAAAATGTTAAAAAGTATACTTGGTGACGTTTTGGATTGGCTTTGTGGCTAAATTAGCCATAAAAGTACAAAATAAATTAAAAAATCAATAAGATAAAATATCACATTCAAATCATAATTACTAGCGGTAACCCGTGCTATGCACGGGTAAGTGACAAAAAATGATAAATAATGTTGAACATGTTAAAAATTAACAATTAAATACTATGATATTTATTAAGATGGGTATTGAAATAATATATTTAGTGATCTTACTATATTTAATTAAATAAAGTTTAGAAGAAAAAAAAGTTGAACTGAAAATTAAGAGTAAGAGTGGGTTCTGTAAATATAAGATATAGATAAAAACAAATTAAGTTTAAATTTGAAGATAAACTATAAATATAAATATATATATATATATATAAGAAAATTAGACAAATCCTAGAAAAATGAGGTAGAGAGAAATTCAGTAATTGAAAAAAAAAAAAAAAACAAAGTTGAAATTTAAAATTAAAAAATAAGATAAGACAAACTTGAAAAGAAAAATAAAATCAATATAACTCTAATAACAGAAGAAATAGAGAGGGTAATAATTAAAAAATTAGATAAGAGTGAAATGCCACTTATAATTTTTTAAAATTTGTAAACAAAAAACTAAAATAAAATTGAGGTAGTATGTTAAAAATCATATAAGATTTAAGTGCCACTTATAATTTTTTAAAATTTAAATTTTGTGTAGTTAAAAAATAAGCAATTATGTTATCTTATTATACAAATTTTAACTCTATTTTGTGTCTACTACCTATAATTTAATCAAATTTTGTCTTCTAAAGCTACTTAATTGAAATAAGAAAGAATAAAAAATTATAAGAATATAGAAAGTGAAAATCAGATAAAAATAGAATAAACTTAATTAAAAATCAAAAGGAAGAATCGATCCTGTAAATATAAGATAAAGATTAAAAAAAAAATCAAATACAAATTTGAAGATAAATTATACGAATATAGAAAGAGAAACTTAGATAAATTGCAAAAGTAAAAGAGAGCAAAAAACATAATATATATGAGATTTAAAACATGTGCTTCTTTTCACATAAACTTAATTAAAAATCAAAAGCAAGAATCGATCCTGTAAATATAAGATAAAGATTAAAAAAAAATCAAATGCAAATTTGAAGATAAATTATACGAATATAGAAAAAGAAACTTAGATAAATTGCAAAAGTAAAAGAGAGCAAAAAACATAATATGAGATTTAAAACATGTGCTTCTTTTCACATAAGATGCTAAAAATCTTGCATAATTGGTTAAATCACCCGTTTAATTTCTTTAGAACGTTATTTTTGTTCTCCAATCTTTTTGCCTAATTTCATATTGTCATAGAAGTTAGGTTTTGAGATTTATAAATTTATTTATTTATTTATTTCAAATATCCGTGGGTAAGACATAAATTGATGAAGAAATTTGAATTAGAGTCAAACTCATCTTCTATTTTTAAATATTTTGAAAATCTTTTTTCTTTAAATATTTTGAAAATCTTTTATATCCATGCCATAAGTAATTAAAAAGTGAAATAAAAAATATAAAAAAAGATAAGAAAAAATAGGAAAATAGAATGAGAGAAGAATGGATGTGCCAATGCCATAAGTAATCAAAAAGTGAAATCAAAAATATAAAAAAAAAGATAAGAAAAATTGAAAAATAGAATGAGAGAAGAATGGATGTGCCACGTACGAAAGAGGTTCATGAGATGTTAAGATTGAGAGTTT